CTGTTAGACTGCAACACTTCACTGTTGGACTGCAACACTTCACTGTTGGACTCAACACCTCACTGTTAAACTGCAAAATCTCACTGTTTGGCTGCAACACCTGCGTTAGACAGCGAGACAAATGAACATAGAATGGCAGGTCCAGATGTAGGTGCAGGTATACCACTTATTGGAAGTAAGACAAATAAATATGTTAAGATATAAATAATTACAAATACAAAACAGGCTGAGCAGCATAAAGACAGTAGCATAGTGAGGAAATGTGCTCGGTTTGTCCTCCAGCAGTTGAAGCCTATAGCAGCATAACCCAGGGATAGCTCTGGAAACCCAAGCCAATCCTAACTATATGGTTGGCTTGGGTAACCTCACTGTTGGGCAACAACACCTCACCATTTAGGCTGCAATCACTCCTTCATTTAACAAGAATAAAGAAATATTATTTTACCATAAACTTACCACATACATTTTCAAGTTATTATGATTGTTTTGTGTTTGAAGAAAAAAAAAACTCACAGTGCAAACTACATGCATGTCATGTAAATTATTGTAAAAATGTGAAATGTGTCCTTTCTGGTTATTTTTAACTTAAGGTAATCTTTTTTCTCTGCAAACCTAAATGCCTTCCTGGGATGTGTGCTTCAATCTGATGCTTGCTTTTTTCTGAACGTAAGTATTGACTGTTTACTACATATTTTGTTCTACAGTCACGTTTTGTACCTTTGGCTGTATTTTAAATGTACTGTACATCCTGTAGTACATAAAAACATGGATACCAAGTTCTGCTACTAGTTTGTAAATGGCATATGTGAGTTAGTCTCCAGATCTAAGGTAGGGGCAATTTATTTGGCAATGAACAAAAAAGTAATAATATGCACAGGTAATATGTACACGCAAAAGTACAATTTTGCAAGCTGAGCGCACAAAATAGGTCATCATTTTCAAATGACAGTTACTCAGAATTCAGTGAGACTGTAAAAAGAAAATCTGTCCATTTTTCAGCTAGCTTGAGGCACCTACTAGTCTTATGACTAGTCAATAGCTTCACTTATGAATATAAATATTATACTAAACTTTATACAGAGCTGTATGTAAGATTAGAGATAATTCTCTATGAAAGGGTCAATGGACAGATACTGTGATGAAATATCCAAGGATAATGAGCTGTCACCATCCATCCATCCATTATCTTCTGTTTGTTCCGAAGTCAGGTCGCGGGGGCATCCGCTTAAGCATGGAGGCCCAGACATCTCTTTCCTCTTCCAGCTCTTCTGGGGGGAGCCCAAGGTGTTCCCAGACCAACTGAGAGACATAGTCTCTCCATCGTGTCCTGGGTCTTCCCCGGGGTCCCCTCCCAGTCGGACATGCCTGAAGCACCTCCCTAGGGAGACGCCCATAGGGCATCCTTACCAGATGCCCAAACCACCTCAACTGGCTCCTCAATGTGGAGGAGCAGCAGTTCTACTCCAAGTCTCTCCCGGATAGCTAAGATTCTACCCTATCTCTAAAGAAAAGTCCAGCTACCCTGCGGAGGAAACTCATTTCAATCACCTGTATCCACAGTCTCTTTCTTTCGGTCACTACCCAGAGTTCATGACCATAGGTGAGAGTAGGAACATCGACTGACCGGTAAACAGAGAGATTTTCCTTACAGCTCAGCTTCCTCTCCACCACAATGGACCGGTATAGAGTCCGCAATACTGCAGATGCTGCACCAATCTGTCTGCCAATCTCACACTCCATTCTTCCCTCACTCATGAACAAAACCCTGAGATACTTGAACTCCTTCACTTGAGGCAGAACCTCACCCTCAACCTGAAGAGAGCAATCCACCCTTTACCAGTTGAGGACAATGGCCTCAAATTTGGAGGCGCTGATTCTCATGCCAGCTGCTTCACACTCGGATGCAAATCGCTCCAGTGAGAGCTGACGATCACGGCACGAGGACGCCAACAGGACCACATCATCTGCAAAGAGCAGAAATGGAATCCTGAGGCCACCGAACCGGACTCCCTCCGCCCACTGACTGCACCAAGAAATTCTGTCCATAAAAGTTATGAACAGAATCGGTGACAACGAGCAGCCCTGGCAGAGTCCAACTCCCACCCTGAAGGGGTCCAACTTACTACTGGCAATGTGAACCAAACTCTCGTACCGCTTGTATAGGGACCGAACAGCCCGTAACAACAGGCCCCCAATCCCATACTCACAGAGCACTCCCCACAGTGTACTTCAAGAAACGGTCAAATGCCTTCTCCAAGTCCACAAAACACATGTAGACTGGATGGGCAAACTCCCATGACCCCTCAAGGACCCTAGTGAGGGTAAAGAGCTGGTCCAGTGTTCCACGGCAAGGACAAAACCTGCATTGTTCCACCTGGATCTGAGGTTCAAGCAATGATCGGCCTTGCTTCTCCACTGCCCCTGAATAGATTTTACCAGGGAGGCTAGCATTGAGCCGTCACTTCATTTTATTTTAGGCTTCAAGACAAAAATAACATTTGCTCTCAATATTTGCATTTATTTAGATTGCATGCCTTGTTACTCAAACGAAGGAAATATAACAAATTAGCATCTCTGTCTGTCTGTCTGTCTGTCTATATATATGTAAGTGCATCAGAAAATATGGCCAATAATTTATGGTAAATAAACAATGTGAACTTCCTGCATTACTAAAAACAATGATGTAGTCTTCACATTTTTCTGTCAGTATAAAAAATGAAATAAAGTTGTGTGTCAGGATGTAAAATAATCTTCTTTCTCCTAAAATGAGGTATAATAAATCTTGTTAAACAAATGTTAATCCTCCTTTCACTCTGATGTCAATCGCAGTTTCGGCTTTTCAACTGTGGTTGAGCGCTACAGAGTGACAGCTGACTTTGTTTTCCTGATAAAACTTTAAATAAATATTTTTTTTTCACTCCTGTTTCATTTTCCGGGTCTCCCTCGTAACGAAAGAGGGCGGCTCTTTTAAATTTGGCTTCTCCATCTGTGATGGAGCACTGCAGCGTGACAGCTGACTTTCTTCTCATGATAAAACTTTAAATGTTTTTGTTCGCTCCTATTTACGGGTCCAGAATTTATTATACAGCAAAAGAGTGAAAGAAATACTTTTTTTCCCTATTCTGTTGCTTCAGTTACAAATTATATTAATAAGGTCATCCTAAAACAATATGTCTCTCCTCCGACCCTTCTACCACTGTTTATTTCAAAAACCTTCATTGTAAAATTTTATAATCCATGTCACAAACTATGTCAAATTATGTAAGGTTTGAACTATTCTCTTATTAAGCACATTTTTAATTCATGTATTTTTGGTGCCATGCTTTATTAAAGTGCAGCCTGAGTATTTCCTGCGTAAATCAGCTCTTCTAGTGCTAACGCAAAGAAAAACCATGATTATTGTTGATACTGATAGTGTTTGATTTCCCACTCTTGTCTCCTGCCAGGACCAAGCGCAGTTCAGGATGGCAACATGAGCACAATGGCAGTGCACGCTCACACCTGTCTCATTCTGATAGCGTTTGTGTCCTTCCTGCTCCAGCTTTGAAGACAATTGGATTTGAGTTTGTACACGGTTGTATGCACATTCTTTTCATGCAGAAACAAACTGATTCACAGGAAGTGCTACATATATCTTGCAAAACACTGATGTTGGCCCACTAAAAAAGACTTCATTTGTTCTTATTTCTAGTTTTTAAGTGTTTAAAATACTCCTTTTATTTATTTGCATTGATAGTAACAAAAATGTTTTACAGTGGTTTAAAAAACAATTTATATGTTATGCTATTCATGACTAGCTTGAGATGTTCTGGTTAAGTACCTCCAATTCTAACCGAGTAAGCAGAAAATATTTGTTTTAAAATGATTTGAAAACCCAGCATTGTCAGATTGTAACATTTAGATATTATTGTTCAATGGAAAAGTGCAACTTTTTTGACCAAAACATATTTTTCTTCTCAACATTGCAATAAAAATATTGAATGATGAGTTTTATGATATATTGGAATGTATGTTTTCATGTCATGTCATGAGCGGTGAGCAATGTCCATGGACGCTCTCGAGGCCATTGTAAGAGTTCTGATAAGGATGGAATAATCAACCAGTTCCCTCTATTGAGATCTGTAAACATTCTCGAGGGATGTCGGGGAATGGCCAAGAATAATGTCTATGAGAATCCAAGAGTCCTGAAAAGATGACACAAAGTTTATTCAGCTGGTTTCCTCTGGTTGATCAGTTGGGAATTCCTCGTTTGAGCATTAGATTGCATGTTCTCCAGGCAAATTCAGATAAAGTGGCCTTCAAGGCCAGTCAGGGGAGCCAGATTCAGATAAACACACAGTTTTGGGGACAGGCAGAACTTAATGACATCTACTTTGAGTCCTTGTTGGTCCAAACGGTTCCGAAATGTCCAAATTACATGGCCACACCGATGGAACATGCCTGAGTAAAATCCCAGAGATCTGATCCATTCTGCCCAAAGCATTTGAGTCTGGGTACTCAAGGCATGAACCAAGCCATCATAAAGGCAAGCAGCATAATCGGGTCCCAATTTGCTGCCAACGATTTCCTGGACTTTTGATAAACCAGCAACAAGCCGAGTCAAAAAGCAGGAACCGGTTATCGTAAATCCAATTATATATGCGTCCTTAAAATCCACAAATGGCAGCAGAGATAGACACATCATCAAGTCTTAAAGTCGAGATATCCAGCTGCATGCCTGCCAACAGGGCAAATTGGCTCACATATAGCCTGTCTTCTCTTCGAAGCCATGTTATCAATTGTGTTGAGGGACCAACTGATCAAATCAAGTCCATAATTATGGTTCAGAAGATAGGCAAGAGAGGCTCAGAAGTAGTTTCACAGATGAGACATAGCAGCAAAGCAAAGCGGAAAGGGAGAGGAGGGGAAAAGCATCCGACCTCAGCAAGAGACACAAAACAAAATAAAATATTGTTCCTGTGAAGTGGTATGGTTTCCATCGCCTACCTACAGATGAGGAATTAAGAAGAATGTGACTGAAAAATCTCTGAAGAATCTCTGAGATGCACATTTTGGACTGAGAACACAGATGGTTTTGGGGGGGGGGGGGGGGAAGGAAGTAATTTATGTTAAAAAAGAAAAAACGTCTCAACAGAGGAGGAGGCCTCAGATTTCAACTTCCAATTAAAGCTACAAGCAGCATTGGAGGCCCTCGCAGCAAAGCGCTGCTCCGGCCTTACGGCTACCGCGGGAGCTCCAGCTAGTCCACCCAGTCGCCATCGCAAACGCTCTAGTGCCAATTCTGCACGCGTTCATCACGGGACGCATTTCCCGAATCTTCGACATCGCCTTCCGTCCATGTCGTTACTTGTCCAGCTGCAGGTCTTACAAGTATAGGCAAAATCTGACCTTCCAGACATGAGTTATGGTGACTTCCTGTTTTGAGGCAAATGTTTGACAAGTAATTCCTTTATGCTTTTCAACATGGCATGTGTGGTAGGCAACAGTTAGCAAACAAAATTTCAGTCTTAATAATGTTAATAATTTTTTCTCTGAGTAGGTAGGGCTTAAGTGATGTCATGAATCAACAATATCAATGTGTCTAGACGTGCTCACTGATTATGCATAAAAAATCTGGTTCCTGTCAAATGATGTATCACTGAGATATAAGTGTTGGAATAATGTAGGGGGCGCACTTGAGTCAAAAGTTAAAATACAATACCAATGTGCCTAGAAGTGCTCACTAATGACACACCCAAAATCTGGTTTAGATCAGATGATTTATCACTGAGATATAACTTTTTGAATAATCTAGGGGGCACACTTGAGTCAAATGTTAAATAACACAAATGTATATAGAAATGCTCACTGATCATGCACAAAAAATCTGGTTCGGATAGGATGATGTATCATTGAGATATAACTGTTGGAATAATCTAGAGTGATATGTTAAACCACAATATCAGTGTGTCTCAAAGTCCTCACTGATGACGCACAATACATCTCGTGCAAATCGGATGTTGTATCACTGAGCTATAACTGCAGGAATAATGTAGGTGGTGCTGTGGAGGCTATTGGCCACTTATCATGGATACTTGTTCAAGGGGCGGATAATGATCGACCATCGTGATTTTGGTGCACCTCGGCTGAAATCTGTGCAATTTAGAGCCAAATGTATTGCAACGGTGTCACTTCTTAAATCACCACGCCGCCACGCCCACATCCTCCAGCAAAAACGGTTTGCACTTTCAATCAAGTCATACCATATTATCTGTCTTCTAACAAAGGATCCTCTTGATTAGGTCATTTGTGTCAAAGAGGGAGCATTCCAAGTAAAAAAAGAGACTTCCTGTTCCGAGGGGGCAGGGCTTTGATGACATCAAAATATGATGACAGTGGATCGTCGGACAGCCAACAGGAATGAGTCATGCCAAGTTTGGTGCATTTTGGTCTTTCAATGTGAAAGTTGTAGCGTTTGGAAACTAATGGCGTGAAGCACGAATTTGAGGCCTGGCCACGCCCTCTTAACATATGCAAAACCGAAAGCTTTTGATAACTTTTACTCCCCAATGTGATAAGGGCATATTAACCAAGTTTAAAGGCAATCACTCAAAATCCCTAGGAGGAGTTTGTTAAAATTTAGCATTAGAAATGCCCAAAAATGACTTATTTATCCGTTCATGGTGGGGCGGCTGTGGCTGAGTGGTTAGAGCAGTCGTCCTCCAATGTGAGAGTTGGGGGTTCGAATCTACCAGCAGTCACATGCTGAAGTGTCACTGGGCAAGACGCTGAACCCCTCATAGACTCTGATGTGTGTCCCATCAGTGTATGAATGTGATAAAGCACTGATTAGTCTCTTTAGAATGATTTGTTCAATTAGCTTTGTAGAGATCTAGTATAGAGCTGTATGGATGGGTAAATGAGACACAGATTGTGTTGTTAAACGCTTTGAGTATCTTGAAATAAGATAGAAAGGCGCTATACAAGTACAGTCCATTTATGGTGGACACTGGTGCGCGGTTAAGTACTTTGAATATTGATCTTCCAGTCTCCTCAAAATTCACAGAAGTGATGGGATTTTCCGGTGAGAAGCAACAATGCTATTTTTCACAACCAGTAGAATGTCAGATCCTGATAAATAAGCCCTACATTAAATTCATGCATGCATTTTTGATTCAGAAACAATGCCCGCTAAATCTTTTGGCTCATGATCTTATAGCTGTACTCGGGGCTAAAATAATATGTTCTCAGGTGTACACCGATGTCATAATTCCTTATGAGAAAATTTTTAGATCAATGCTAAACGATAACAGTCAGATGCTTCAGGCAGAAGAGAAACTGGAGGGAAATGTTTATGTGTGGCGGGGTAAAGCAGTGCACAGTGAGTCGTGATTTGAAGGAAATAGTGGACATGTGGGAAATTTGGATAAATTCCTTGAGGTCATATGACAGTCTTGCTGACCCTCTGCATGTTACTCTGAACTATTTACTGATCCTCGATCAGACTAAATAAATAGATATATACCAGGAAAATTGTGAGGACATATTAAAACTGCTTCAGGAGCAATACAGTTGTGATGAGCCTCATCCTTGGATAAGCTGGAGTAATATCTACATTTGTCCAGAAGGTGTCGCTGCTGCGGTTGATTTGGGTGAGGAAGTCAGAATGTTGAATCGGTTATGCCCTGAGATGTATCCTCATTTGACTCTAAAGTTAGCCACAGGTGGACAGGCTAAGAACTTGGGCCCAAAAGTTAGAGAAGCAGTTGAAGCCACAGATTGGAACAGGGTGCAAAGTACACCACGGATGGATTACAGTCCCACATGTAATGTCTATTGATTAAATTATTCAGGGAAACTAGATTTGGTCCTAGAGAAAGTAGTCTCATCGGGGAAACTAAACAGCCACTGGCCAAAAGGATGGACCAGCACAGAAGATCAACATCATCAGGCCAGGACTCTGAGGTCTACACTCATCTCCAGGCCAGAGGTCTCTCTTTCAGGGATGAAGATGTTCACATCCTGGACAGAGAGGAACGATGGTTTGAGAGAGGAGTAAAGGAGGCCATCTTTGTGAAAAGAAACCGTCCATCATTAAACAGGGGTGGAGCCTCCAGGTTCAACTGTCCCCCTCTTACAATGCTGTGATTGCTAGTATCACTCAGCCCTCTGTGAACAGTAAACAGCCATCAGGTGCTAATGATCCATTGTTAGGCTGATGGTCCTTCTTGAGCATGTGAGCAGCTGGTTCTGGTTGTCAGCAGCAAACTGGTTGATCCACTCTGAGAAGGTGCTATTTAAGAGACTGAGCTGAATACAGCACCTCAGACTGAGGAAGTCCTCAGGATGAAAGACGAAACGTTTCTATATATTTTTTTTGGAACGTCCAGAGGACCTGACTTAACTTTTTTAGATTTTTCTACTTGGATTGTTGAGCATGCATCAGGAAGTATTCAAAGTATTTTGCCAAAAATAAAGCTGAAATGCAATACAATATGCTAATACAGTATTTCAATATAATATGTTTTCTACAACTCACCACATTTCTGAAAGTTTATTTTTATTCCAGATTGATTTTGTGCAAGATCATGGGGACCTGGTCCCTCTCTCCAGCTTCGACAGGTCATCCGTTTCACCGGGTACAACATTTTTATGACATATATCCATTTAATGAATGTTTTTCAGTTTTTTAAACCACAAAAAAAACAACCATGAAGAAAAAAAATCACCTCAGATTATATTTTAC